CCATGAATTGCAGCACGCCAGGCCTCCCTGTCCATCACCAACTCCCGGAGTTGACTCAAACTCATGTCCATTGAGTCGGTGATGCCATCCAGCCATCTCATCCTCTGTTGTCCCCTTCTCCTCCTGCCCCCAATCCCTCCCAACATCAGGGTCTTTTCCAATGAGTCAACTCTTCACATCAGGTGGCCAAAGTATTGGAGTTCCAACTTCAGCATCAGTCCTTCCAATGAACACCCAGGACTGATCTCCTTTAGGATAGACTGGTTGGATCCCCTTGCAGTCCACGGGACTCTCAAGAGTCTTCTCCAACACCACAGTTCTAAAGCATCAATTCTTTGGCACTCAGCTTTCTTCACAGTCCAACTCTCACATTTAAACGTGGTGGTGGTGGTGATTTGTTTTTTCATGAAGCACTAACTCTTATACAAGGATTTAGAAAGCAAACCAGAAGAGAGAAGTGTAGGCTATAGAAAAGTCTGTAAGGATAATAATAAACTCATTCATTTGCTCATTCATGTTTTATCTTGTGCCTAATGGCATATGCTGCTTTTACTTACATTCTATTACAAGTCTCAAAGAATAATATAGGCCTTCTCAATAACGTACATTTTCTCAAACTCAGAAGGGCCCTATTGATCCTATTCTAAGTGCACTGGCTTTCTCTTTTTTCCTAGTACTAAATGTATTGGAGATAGTCTGCTCTTTGGGGAACTTGCTCTTTTGCTTAGAAGTGGGATTTTATTTAAGTCAGTCATTATTCAAGGTGCTGTAAGTTTTTTCAAAGTATTTTATTGCAGCTGAAAAGTCTATCCGTTAGTGGGTAATGTAATTAGGGCTTGTAGACAGAACAGTTAATTTTGAGTTATTTAGCTTATTTTTAGACAGATCCCCTTTGCCTTTTTTTAAACTTTTAATTTGAAATAATTATAGACTCAATTTCCTTTCAAAGCAGTTTTTTCTAAGCCTGATATATCATCACTGAATGATGATGAATGAGGTTCTTTTAAATGATATTCTTTCTATTACCTGCCAAGTTTTATTTTTCCTTTATGTGAGAAAATTTTCTGGAAATAATTTTGCAGCTTTCTTTCCAGAATAGATATTAGTTAATATTTGTATTTGGGAAATTGAAGCAAAATGAACATCAGTCTTGCCTATCTTTATTTTTTTCAAAAGCTCTAATAGATTTTCTTTCTTTTTCCCAATAATGCCTTCTGATTCCAAAAATTTCTTTGCTAGCCATGTTGTAGAAGCATTTGGTTATAAGCAAATATTTTGGGAGTTATTAGCATTTGTATAAAGATTATGTTAATATTCACCTAACAGAAGTTGCGAAACAATTACCTGGTACTAAATGAGTCACGGTTTTTACTTTAACACATACTTTTTAACATATACATATAAGTGCATCTATCAATGGTGAATTAATGCCTTTACTCTGGGATTTAAAATGTGATTGCTATATAACATATGAGTACCCTGTCATAATGAAATGGTGCCTATTATTTCACAATAATTATGCATACAATCTGGCAAAATAATTTTTTGAAAGGTAAAAGCATTTTAAGAAATGTTCCATCTTACAAGTTGGAATTTTTGTTCTCAGAGTATTAATTATTTTACACATAGCAAACCTTTAAATTATGGTACATATTAAAACCCACTCAAATGAAGGTGGTAGTATAATTTATGGTAAGGAATAATATGTACATGAATGAGAAAGAACAAGATTTAAAAAGCAAAATATATGCTTTGTAACTAACATATTTAAGATATTTCTTGTGTAGAAGGTAGTTATTAGATAGGCAAGTTGGAGGAAGAGGGGGACACTAAATTGTATATTGGCACGCTTCCTGGAATGCATATGCATAGTAATTAGAGACATTGATTTTTAAATGTCAGCCAGCTTTTATTCTCTTCCTTTTCTAGCATCTATTTGTATGAAGTGACTATTCTTACTTCTAAAAGGAGTTTACCAAGCTTTTTGTGAACATTTGTTATACAGGAAATAAATTACCACTGCTATATATAACTAACATTAAATTTGTGATACTAGCAACTTGTGAGTGATTTAAAGGTTTGTTGATTTGATTAATTTCTTATTTGTCAAATGATGGTGAAGAAATTCTCCATTTCCCAGTTGAGACACTTGGGGACATTTCTCATGCTTTCTACTTGCATCCAGGAAACAAATACGCCTTTAGTCATTTATAACCTTCAACAACATGTTAAAATGTGTTACTATAAGATTCACATTCCACACTTAAGTAGCTTTTTGCTAAACTGGTTTAATTTATTATTGTGTTTATCTGCTATTAGCATTCTTAAATGGCAGGCCTCTCCAGTACTCTTGCCTGGAGAACCCCATGGACAGAGGAGCCCGGCGGGCCCTAGTCCGTGGGGTCGCAAAGAGCTGGACACAAGTAGGCGGCTAACATTTAGTGGCCTTTAACACTTCATAGGCTTTTAAAGAAGGTGGGCAACAGAGGCTCTTCCTGAGAGAGAGAATATCTGTTTACCTAATTCATGAAATCAAAGATGCTTTAAAAGCGTGCTGTTAGTCTTACTAGACCAAGTCAATGGAAGGTTAATGTAGGGGTGGAAAGTTTTTCTGTCCTCTTCTAGGTCCTTTGAACCTAGATCCTGGGTTGGCAGGCTCCCCTGGAGGAGGGCATGGCAACCCACTCCAGTGTTCTTGCCTGGAGAGTCCCCGTGGACAGAGGAGCCTGGCGGGCTGCGGTCCACAGGGTTGCAAAGAGTTGGACACCACTGAGCAACTCAGCACAGCACTAGCTTCTTTGGTCTAATAATTAAATTGACAGAAGATGAATTAGCAGGAGAAAACATATTTAAGTTGGTACATACAGGATCCCCTGTGATAAGAGACTCAAGAGCAAGTTGGACAGTTGAGGCTTATGTGCCATCCTATGCTAAGGAGTGGGAGTAGGGCCTGGGCCTTCAAAGGAGAGGAGAGTGACTCATAAGATAATAAGACCAAATGTGTGGTATTTAGAGGTCTGCCCTGCCATGCAGATAGGACTTTCAGATAACGTTATGGTAATAGCTGTTTTTCTGGGCCGGGCCCCCTATCTAAATTCTTTTGCGTAGTTAAGGGAGAGGTAAAAGTTCTTCCTGAGTCTGCAGGATCTTGATTGCTGTCAGCTGAAAATAACCCACATGTCAAGTGGCATATTTTAGGCCGGCATGTTCTCCCCTTCAGTAATAACAACTACTCACACTGTCACCTGGAGACAGTGATTATAAGCACCATGGAGTAGTCACTTTAATTGTGTCCTTATCGTACCCTGCCCGGAGAAGGCAGTGGCGCCCCACTCCAGTGTTCCTGCCTGGAGAACCCCAGGGACGGGGGAGCCTGGGGGCTGCCGTCTGTGGGGTCGCACAGAGTCGGACGCGACTGACGCGACGCAGCAGCCGCAGCAGCAGCAGCATACCCTGCATGACTGCATGCTCCACAAGTATAGTTCTTTTTTTTTTAAATGTTTGTTTCTTTTTTATATTTTTGGCTCTTCTGGGTCTTAACTGCTGCACGGGGTTTCCTTCTCTAGTCGCAGTGAACAGGGACGACTCTCTGCTTGCAGCACTTGGCCTTCTCTTTGTGGTGGCTTCTCTTGTTCAGAACACAGGCTCTCGGGCACATGCACTTGTTAAAGCACTTGCAGCTCGCAGGCTGTAGAGTGTAGGCTCAATAATTGTGATACACAGGCTTAGTCGCTTTACAGCATGTGGGATCTTCCTGGATCAGGGATCAAACTTACGTGTCCTGCATTGACAGGTGGATTCGTGACCACTGAGCTACTAGGGAAGCCCTGATACAGCATGGTTCTAATGATGGTATTTCCTTATTTATAATGTTTCATGTAGTCAAGAGTGATGTGTGTATGCATGGTTGCTACAGTTGTGTCTGACTCTCTGTGACCCCATGGGCTGTAGCCTGCCAGGCGCCTCTGTCCATGGGAATCTCCAGGCAAGAATACTGGAGTGGGCTGCCATGCCCTCCTTCAGGGGATCTTCCCCACTCAGGGATCGAACCCGCATCTCCTACATTGCAGGCAGACTCTTTTCTGCTGAACCACCAGGGAAGCCCCTAGAAGTCGAGAATGGTAGACCCTTTAGATAGAAGGAAGGAAGGGTGCGGGAAGGGCAGACCTCTTTAGATAGAAGGAACGAAGGGTGCGGGAAGGGCAGCCAGTTTACCCCCACCCTCTAGATGGTGTTTCACTTTTGTGTGCACTTATTGTTTGTACAAAAAAATAAATATTGCTTATGAAATAAAGATGAAGTCTGACATTCTTCATGGCCCATTTTAAGCTTTCTTTGGGTTTTTATCTCCAGCTAACATCCTTTACTTGAGCCATACTTGTTTCCTTTTTGTCTCAAATCTTTTGCGTTCTTAGGATTTAGTTTATTAAATTTTCCCTTTGCTTTACCCACCCATCAGAGTTAAGCCTTAATTCCACCTATTCAGGCTTCTCCAGCTCCCTCCATAGCAAGTACCTCTCACTCCACTACTTTGCAATGATAAATACCTCTGTAATAGCATTTATCAGACTACTTTTTGTTATAGTTAATTGTGTGTCTGGTTTTCCTGTTAGATTTTGGGAGTGAACTATTTAGGTTTGTGTTAATATTGTCTCCATAGTGCATGGTATATAAACACAGAGAGTGTTTCTTGAATTGAACTCATAGATTTTTTAAAATCTATGCATTGCTTAATTCTCTTCTATGGAGTGATTTTGCTAGAATTACTAATTTGTTGGATTGTTGTACATTTAAGTTGCCATTTTCAATGTTTATCCACCATTTTCTGAAGTATAAGAATTATTCCTTTGCTGGTTACTGTTCCATCATGCAAAAGACAAGAATAGTTGCATAGATATTAATTTTTCATATTAAGTGTCTATTATGCAAATTTTGATGATTATACAACCTTATATTTAAGGAAGAATTTTTATAAATGGTATTTTTCTTTTCCTTTGTAGGTTGCTTCCTCAGAACATTGGCCTTCTCTATGTTGGAGGTTATGAAAGACCCTTTGCACAAATCAAGGTATGCTGTTCACTGTTCACTTTCTAACATTTTTTCCTAGGTACAATTCATTCGTCCAGAACCCACTAAAATCCTTCAAGTAACTATCACAAAAGTTGGGGAATGTGAATTACTAATTTTGTTTGCTTTTACATATCTCTGCTGAAATAGTACTTCATCTTTTCAGTGAATCAGTTAGTTTAATAATCTTGCCCATAATAAATTTGACCAGTACAATTTGGTGATTAGTTAAGAAGAGTACCATTTAGAGCTTCATTACCCTAGTTGCCAGTAGAATTTTTTTGACAGCTTTATTGAGGTATAATAGACATGTAAGAAAATATACATATTTAAACTGTACAGTTTGACATCCAGTTACACTTACCCTTGTGAAACTGTCACCACAATCAAGACAAGTAACATATCCATCACCCCTGTAAGTTTCTTTGTGCCCCATTGAATTTCCCCACCTCTTCCCTTCCTTTTTATCCTCCAGTTCCCAGGTGACCACGGATCTAATCACTATGGATTAATTTGCACTTGCCAGAATTTTATCTAAATGGAATCATACTGTATTTCTTTCTTTTGGATTCTTTGATTCAGTTATTATTTTGAGATTCACCCATGTTGTTACACTTCAGTAGTTCATTCCTTTTTATTGCCGAGTAATATCTCATTATATGGTTTTAGCACAATTTCTCTATCCTTTTACATGTTGAGGGACATTTGGGTTGTTTCTACTTTTTGGCTTCTATAAATAAAGCTGCTGTGAACATTTGTATACAAGTCTCTGTATGGACATATATTTTCATTTCTCTTGGGTAAATACCTAACACCAAAATGATTGAATTAAATGGTGAAAGTGAAGGTGGCTCAGTCATGTCCAAATCTTTGTGACCCCACGGACTCTACAGTCCGTGGAATTCTCCAGGCCAGAATACTGGAGTGGGTAGCCTTTCCCTTCTCCAGGGGATCTTCCCAACCCAGGGATCAAACCCAAGTCTACCGCATTGTGGGCGAATTCTTTACCAGCTAAGCCACAAGGGAAGCCCAAGAATACTGGAGTGGGCAGCCTATCCCTTCTCCAGCGGATCTTCCCAACCCAGGAATCGAACGAGGATCTCCTGCACTGCAGGCAGATTCTTTACCAACTGAGGTATGAGGGAAGCCCGAGTTAAATGGTAGTTGTGTGTTTTAACTTTTTAAGAAACTACCAAACTATTTTCCCACTATCAGGGTGAGTGCTGTTCCTCCATTTCATCATCAACATTTGGTGTGGTCACTCTTTGAGTTTAGGCATTCCTGTAGGTATATAGTATTTCGCTGCAGTTTTAACTTGCTCTTCTGTAATGACTAATCCTGTTGAGCGTCCTCTCATGTACTGTTTGCCATTTATACATCTCTAGTGAGGTGTGTGTTCAAAAACTTGCCATTTTTTGTTTTTGTTTGTTTTCTTAAACTGTTGAGTTTTGAGCATTCTTTGTATCTTCTGAATATGTCTTTTATCAGATATGGGATTTCTCTTAACAAGATCTTCAAAGAGCAAAAATTCTTAATATTAATGGAATTCAGTTTATTACTCTTTTTCATGGCTCCTGCTGATAGTATTGATCTAAGAAACATTTGCCTAGCCCAGAGGCAGAAAGATTTTTCTTCTATGTATCATTCTGGAATCTTTATAGTTCAGGGTTTTACATTTAGGTTTATTATCTAATTGAAATAATTTTTGTATGTGATGCAAAGTTCAAGGTAAAGAGAAATATTGTTCCTCCTACAGTATCTAGTTGTTCTAAAACCGTTTGTTAGAAAGACTATCCTTTCCACCACTGAAGTGTCTTTGCATCTCAGTTGAATATCATTTCACCATATGGGTGTGTGTGAATCTCTATTTCAGAACTCTTTATTCTGTTCCATTGACCTGTGTGTCTATACTGTGCTGTGCTTGGTCAGTCATGTTCAGCTCTTTGCGACCCCATGGACCGTAGCCTGCCAGACTCCTCGGTCCATGGGATTCTCCAGACCAGAATACTGGAGTGGGTTGCCATGCCCTCCTCCAGGGGATCTTCCCGAGCCAGGGATCAAATCCAGGTTTCCTGCACTGCAGGCGGATTCTTTACTACCTGAGCCACCAGGGCAGCCCAAGAACGCTGGAGTGGGCAGCCTAACCCTCCTCCAGGGGATCTTCCCAACCCAGGGATCAAATCAGCGTTTCCTGCATCACACGCAGATTCTTTACCAGGGAAGCCCCTGAGCTGCAAGGGAAGCCCCGTGTGTCTGTACTGTGTGCCTTCACTAATATCACAGTCTTGACTTTTGTGGCTTTAGAATAAGTCATGAAATCAGGTAGTGTAAATCCTCCAAGTTTGTTCTTTTCAAAGTCCTTTCCCCTTGTGTATATGACATATTTTTATGCTTTGAAAAACAAAGGTTTTTTTCAGAGTATACCGAACCTGAATAGGACATATAAGATATATAGTACTGAGGAGGTTAGTCACATTATTGACATTATTAAATTAAATACCTTATTTAGCTACCATAGCATCAGCATTTCTTTAAATACCTTCCTTAATTTAACTTAAGACACTCAAAAGTCCATGTTAAGGTCTTAAGCTGTGAACCCTCTTGAATGTTTCTGATTCCCTAAGTAATGACAGGAATTCAGGTACTTTGTCTCTTTTTTTTTCACATCCCTGGAACCTTAAGTAGAGTTGGCGAGAGTCTCTTCATAAGCCTCCCTCACTATCCTGTTCTCCAAATTCTACAGTAAAGCCAGGAATCCTGATAAGTTTCAGCAGAAACATTTCTAAAAGCCCAACTTTTTTCCCTATCCACTGATTTGGAAAATCCTCTTTTCCCTTATTAGAACTGAAATAATGAAAAAGTGAGAGACACGTCTGATACATTTAAGGAAGGGTAGAATTTGTATGTATGTGTGTGTGTTTGTTACATGTTATCTCAAAAACATAAGTGTATGTATGAGGGTGATTACTCCATCACTCACCTGATCCATTAACATATCATTTTCTTTATTCAGGCCATTTCTATCAAGCCCAGTGACAGAGGTCAATCCTTTGTCAACCCTTTATGCCTGGATAATCAACTCAATAGAAAAAGTCCATTATTTTAGGGCATGTTTTTCCTTTGATGTTTCCATGGGAAAGGTTTCTTTCATATGCTATGAAAGGATTTCTTATCCTCATTAATTATTGAGGTTCTTTTATAATTCCTGTGGTTCTTATGAAAATGCTATATAGATCCTATCTAATTAGAATGCTTACAAGTTAATTGGAAAACAATAAAAAAAATCAGTTAAAATGCTTGAGATTAGGCTAGAAATTTCAGTTTCTTTCTCTGACCCTTGCCTTGCATCTGACTTCTTTCGGTCATGAAGTACCAGTACTTTTCTCTTTTTAAACTAAATGTAATGATACTATATTATATGGCATAGATATCAGATATAACCTTTAATAAATGGAAATGGTTTTGCTTTTCTTGAGAGAATATTGGTTGAAGTTTTTATAAATCAAGATAGGAGTTTGTTCATTTGAATATTTAAGAAAAGGAATTCTCATTTTATTACCATCACAAGACTAAATGTGAGTGGCTTGGTATTAGAGGTTACATTTGTTAAAGAGACATTTCATGGTTGTATTTCTAAAAAGGAGCTCCAGTTTATAAAGATCAGAAAGAAAAAGAAAAACAGGAAAAGGGTGATAGATATTTGGACAAGCACTAAATGAGTTCAGAAGTTTTCTATAGGGTGACAGTAGATGCATGTCCTCTCAGTGTATAATGCGGATTGTTACAGCCATCCTTCTCTCCCTCCCTCCTCCACACCCTGGATACAGATGTGCACAAACATGGGACTTCATTATAGTTTTAGAGCCGTGCGTCTATGTGCTAGTTTCAGGTTTCATTATTTTTAGAGGCGGTTATTCCAACTTTGCCTTTTGTATCTCCTGACATCTTCTGTAAGTCATTGGAAGGCTCTTTTTTCAAAGAAGCTCAATCCTTAAGTTTTCATGGGGAATTTGTCATCCGAAGAACTTGATTGTAAACACTCATGATTATGCTCTTATTTTATCCTAAAATATGATAAACTAAATAAAACACTGGTATCTTATAATGAGTTGTAATACACTGTAAGAAAAGAATTGTCTCACATATCCACAGCCACTGTTGAGTGCTGTAAATGAAGCACATTTCACCTTCACCCAATACTAACTTCTGTCACCATCATTGAGATTAAGATAAGTTTCTAAATGTACTGGGTTATGTGTGACTTAGGGTTTTCTTAAGAAAGAAATAGATTTCATTATATCTTTATATTCAGTCTTTGAAATTCAAAAGGAACATTTTGATTAAAGTAAAATTTTACTTAATTCCTATTCATATGCTTTCAGGTTGTCAGAAACTTTCTGGGGTGGTTATTTCTATATGTCTTTGCATAATTCTTTTATCTTAGTTCAGTGTGTATATAATCCTGTTATCCATAGTTTATTTTTATAGACATGGTCAAGTTTAAATTATAGTTTACATTTTATACCTATTATTCAGTGCCGTTTTCTAAAGCATTTTATAGTCTGATAAAAATCTCAGTGCTGTTCTCTTAGGGTTCTAGTCCTAGAGGCTCCACTTAGCAGCCAGAATCCATAAAAGAAAGAAAGAGTAAAGCCTGTCAGCATCACTTTTAGTCAACTTAGTGGTTGTTAGGGAGAGTCTCAAGGCCACAGGGCTGTGACTCCCCGCCAGGCTTGATACTAGTTGCCTCTTGCAGTCCTGTCAGCCCAACGAGTGTGTGGAGCTGTGAGGCTGAGTCACGTCCAGTTTCCACGTTGACACCGCAGAACAGCTGAGAGATGTCTTCTGTATTTTAACTGTGGATTCCGCGCAGCACCCATACGTGAAGAGTAAGGAATGTAAACGTTTTTGAGTAGTTATTTTATAATCAGCCCAGCTGAGTGACTCTCTGCCTCATGCCCACTCCAGCCCTGCTGAGGGGCGGGGTGCCATTAGTCCCT